GTTGTTGTCGTCGTCGTTGTTGTTGTTGTTGATGATGTTGTTGTCGTCGTCGTTGTTGTTGTTTCTGTCACTGACGCATGAGCGCCACCTCCTGGATAAGGTGGCATGTGAAGTTGTGGACGCAGGTCCAGGGGTCAGGGTGGGGTCACAGGAGACTCTGGAAGACAAACACCGTCACTGACCTCAGAGCCTAAAGTGTAGTGAGGTCCAGGTCCCTCTAGATGGCGCTGTTACCTCTTCTTGTGCCAGTAAGGTTTTCAGTCACACGTTCTTCAACCCTGAGGGACAAGTCTTGGATGGACGGGACGGTGTCGATGAAGACGCGGCTCAGGAGGATGCCTGGAAGACAGGAAACAGATTCTGTCTGGGGACGAGGAGGACGAGGAGGACGAGAAGGACGAGGAGGACAAGGAGGACGAGGAGGACTAGGAGGATGAGGAGGACGAGGAGGACGCGGAGGACGAGGAGGACGAGGAGGGCGAGGAGGACGAGGAGGACGGTGGTTCAGTTCTGTGGTGTCTCACCTGTGTTGTGAGGAGACTGCAGCGCCTCCTGCAGGCCAAACTGCTCTGGGTGCTGGGGGATGGGTGTGATGATGGGGTTGGTGTAGCTCTGTGTCAGATGAGTGCTGCTGGAGCAGAGAGGTCAAAGGTCAAAGGTGACCTACTGGTTCTGGACGGTTTCATATCAAAGAGAGAAAGACTTTGGTCTGTGAGCCCCAAAAAAGACACAGACCAAAGTCTGTAGAGGAGTTCTAATGAGCTACAGTGACACCACCTGACCACAGGAGGCAGTAAAGGTGTGTGTGTGTGTGTGTGTGAGTGTGCAGACCTGTGTGTGTGTGTGTGTGTGTCCTGCTCTCCCTCCGCAGCAGCGTCAGCGTCGTTGGTCTGACTTCTTCTGATGTACTTGAACCTGACGTTCCTGATGGTTCTCCTGTGAAGACGGAACACACAGTGAGGACCAGCCACGGCAGATGGAGGCGATGGTGTTGGCTGGTACCTGGGGACCAAGGTTCTACTGGACTCTGCTGCGTCTTTGATCCGTTGACCTTTGACCCCCGGCCGCAGAGATCCAGACCAGGTGGGTCTGTGGCGCCGGGCGACAGACTGACTTCTCAGCTTGTATCGTGAGCTCGGAGACCTCCGACCTGTGGTTGGGGTTTGGTTCTGAGGAGAACAGGAGATGCTGTGAGGGTGCAGCTCAGCAGAACCTCCAAGAACCCAATGATTGACCTTCTTACCGCCTCAGGCTGGGGCAGCGGGTTCCTGAAGAGCGGCGAGTCTTGGTACGGCGAGTACCTGACATGGTTGGACACGTGCTGCAGCAGGGACTGCTGGGAAGTGGCTGCTGATTCACACAGGGACAACAGAACCGCTTCAGTTGTAGAACCGCAGCAGAACATCTGAAAACACCAGCCATGAAGACCAACAGATCTCACCGACAAACGGCAGCGCAGAACCCAAGCTCTGGAGGTCGGTTCCACTGTGGAACCCTGTTCTGTCCAAGGTTCCCATGGGTCCCAGCGGCGGAGCGAGGTTCTGGGTGTGGCCAAAACCAAACTGGCCGGGGACGGCTACCAATCCCAGACTGTCCACGTGGTCTCTTGGACCTTCTCTGGTTCTTGTGGTGATCAAAGCTGAACCAGCGTCACCTGCTCCACAGCTGGTACTCACACCTGCACCTGGTCCAGTACGTCCTGGTTCTACTGCAGCCAGTCTGTCCCCGAACAGACTCCCTCCAGCAGGAGAGAAACCTGCACCAAGACCCGTCATTACAGATCAGAGTTCTGGACCTCAGTCCTGCGGTCGACCGGACCGGGCTGGTTTCTGTCCCACAGGGTCAGAGGTGAAACCGAGCCCGTCCAGATCTGGGTCACTGAGAACCTACACTGACTTTGATCATTAACCAGAAACACTTCACTCACCGACGGTACACACGTGGATTCCAGGTCCGATCGGAACATCAGGTTTGTCACCAAGGAGATCGGTACCACCGCTGAGACACAGAGAACTGGTGCTGCTGGTACCAGTCCCAAAGATCTTATTTCTGAAGATGCTCTGCTGCAAGGACAGAAACAGAAAGAGTCACAGAGTTAGGATCTGGACCCCAGGTCTGGATCTGGACCCCAGGTCTGGATCTGGACCCCAGGTCTGGATCTGGAACCCCGGTCTGGATCTGGACCCCGGGTCTGGATCTGGACCCCCGGCCCATGAAGGTCCATGAAGTTCTGTGAAGTCCAAACTCGGTACCTGGGTGCCTGTGCTTCCAGAACCGGGCGGTCCAGAGAGGCTGCCGTCTCTCCCAAAGCTGTTGGAGTTCATGTTGTGAGTGAAGCTGAAGAACCCCCCCGACTGAGACCCCGTCCTGCCGCCCAGGGAACCCTGAGAAAGGACAGAGGACGTCAGACTGGGGACAGTGGACAGTGGGACAGTGGACAGACAGAGGAGCCTCACTGTGGCGCCGCTGCTGAGGTTCTGGGTGGAGGTGGTCTGACCCGACGGTGTGAAACAGCTGCTGACTCGTTGCTGGTTCTGTTGTCCAGACCAGCCACTAGGTGGTGCTGTGGAAAAGACAAACCTCAGTCACGACCCGGGGCCACCGACGACAGATTGACCCACCCTGGACCCTGACGGAACCAGCTGTTGATCCACTGCTGGTCCATCACCAGGATCAAAGGAGTTCTTTTCTTATTTAAACCGTTTGAAATCTTTTTTCAGATAAACTTCAGAAATATACAAACTGGCCACAAGAGGGCAGCAGTGAGTCTACATGAACAAAAGTGACTTTGTCGGTCAGTCCATGCGGTCAGTGTCCCGGGTCGGTCCATGTCCGTCTCACTGAGGTCAGGATGTCTCTTACCTGTTCCACACGTGTTCTTGTTCTGCCCAAAGAAACGGCCTGTGTTGGCCGCAGCGGAACCGATGGTGGAAGAACCAAAGACGTGGGCCGTCCCTGCTCTCCTGTGATTGGCTGGACCCTTCCTCTCCGCCAGGTAGTCTTCTAGTCTCAGCTCCTGCAAGACAGACCAGAACGGTCACATCAGGGACTGGAACCTTCACCTGCTGCTGATCACACTGACCTCTAGTGACTTCCCCTGGTACTGCTCCATGGCTGTGATGCAGTGCTGTGTGGTCTGGATGTTCACGCTCACACCAGCTGTAACCAACGTGTCACTTCCTGTTGTAGGCTGAACAAATGAATGGGTCACAATCACGGACCGTGATCCCGCCCCAGGTCCTGGTCCTGGTCCTGGTTCTGGTTCTGGTCCTGGTACTCACTGTGTATGTGATGGCTGTTCCTGTCAGTGGTGCGGCATAGAACCCTAAACCTCCAAACAGGAAGTCAGTCCCATCAAAGGAGATAGGATTGGTAACCCCGAGCCCTCTAGCACCACCTGTGGCAGTTCCCATGTACTCGGTAAAGAGAAGGATCATTAGTCATCATTAGTTGTTGGTACTGATTAGTTCCAACCGCAGGATTGAGTTCCTGAACCGATCTTTAAGGATCTGGGATCAGTGGACGATCTTACTTTCAAAGGTTGTGGGTTTGACGGCACCAAGTCCAAACAGACTGGCACTAGAACCAAAGGCTGGGGGGTCGATGGGAGGGGGGGCCGGCTGGCCAAAAGTACTGGACCCAAAAAGAGTACCTGAAGGGGAATGACAGCAGCAGTGCCTTCAGAAGCAGGAAGAGGAGGAGGAGGAGGAGGAGACGAAAAACTCCGAACGCTAATCAAGACATAGAAACATAGAGTTGACCGACCAGAACCAGGTGTGTTCTGCACAGAACCAAACGGTCCTCCGGTCCCTGTGTTACGACCAAGGTCTCCAGGAAACACGAAAGTTCCAGGAGTTCCAGGAGTTCCAGGACCTCCTGAGCCTGGGGTCATCTTTGGGCCTCAACCCTGTGTCTGATAAATATAAACAAAGCCACAAGGTGGCGCTCTGTTCTGTGTCAGTGAATTCAGGTTATTAAGACACAAACCTTCTTCTTGTTCTCAGTGAAGCCCAGTCAAACGATGTCATTGATATAGAATGCTGCCACCTGCTGGTAAAAATGAATCATCGTTGATGTCTTCACTGAAGTTCAAAGACCTGATCAAAGGATTTCTTCAGTTCGATCACATTTCAGCTCTCACCCCTCTCCACTCATCTGTCGCCCCCCACTGGCCAGACTTTGTACACATGAAATGAAGAGTCACAGAGCAGCATGTTTTAAGATCTGCTCTTTATTTTATTGGTTTGTTTGGACAGATGACATCATCAGTTGGTTTGTTTGGACGGACAGATGACATCATCAGTTGGTTTGGACAGATGACATCATCAGTTGTTTTGTTTGGACAGATGACATCATCAGTTGGACAGACACAGGGAAGACGTGACCTGACCTGCAGAGGAGCGTCCAGGTTCCAGGGTCGTATTCAAGGACTTTCCAGGCTTGAATTGTTAACATACACAGACGGAGACGAGCAGTTGTTGTTGTTGTTTTTTTCATATATTTTTTTTATTACGGTGATTATGTTCAGGAGGACTTCAGTGTCCAGGGTCACAGTTGGTCCAGACGTCTCTGAACAGTGACGCCCCCTGCAGGCTCTTATGACTAGTCTGGACATCAGTGTCCACAGTCCAGCGTGGACCTGATGTTTACCTACAAACAAACATCTGATGACACCGAACAAAGGGACGTCCAACAGTACCGTCCAACAGTACCGTCCAACAGTACCGTCCAACAGTACCGTCCAACAGTCGGTGGTTCATGCTAGCTCTAGACTCGTTGAGGAGTTTTTCTAATATTTGAAGTGACATTCATGGTCATCTGGATCTGACCTGGACCTTAAGAGTCATAAATGCCCTAACAAAGTCATGAGGTTAAAGGTCAACATGTTCCTCATCACCATGGTTTTCTCATGGAGGACCCCTGTCCCTGCTGCTGACCCCAAGCACCCCCCCCCCTCCCCCACCCCCGCCCACCCG